ACATTTTAATGAAATTAAGTGGACAAATTTTCTTAAAAATGATATGGTTTAGAGCAGAATTACAATGGAATTGGTTTATACTTTGGTCTAATAGAATGAATTCCGATCCTCTGGATAACGTTTTTCACATTAACTCAATATATATTAAATTTAGATTCTTCATTCGAGTTGATATCACATACATATGTATATAGGTATATCTCATTTGAAGGTGTTTAATATAATTTCAGATGACGCAAAGTAAAATATAGCAATAAAACTAAGTCTAAGTTTATGGCCTTCAATATAAGTCAAGAAGATACCAAATTTGATTGTAATATATTGACGATTTCATCGAACAATGAATGTTGAATTTTTCCGCAACAGTTTTTAATATAAAGCATTGCCAACACCTAAAGGGATTTCCCAGGCTTTGATTCTTGCAAGTTGTAAGAATACAAAATGTTCGGTTACACCTGAACCTAGCTCTTTCATTATTGTTTCATCCAATTTTGTTGCTACAATTGTAAGGATGATCAATATTTGGTGAAAAAAGTTTTTCGAGCATATTGACAATAAACTTCAAATTTTAAGATAAAGTTTGCCTTTGGCTTTTGGCATCAAGTCATCCAGTAGTAAATATTAGTAATAACTGAATGTAGCCAAACTTAGCCCAACCTTACTTGTTTGAAATATTTTTCTGTCACCCATTCTATTGGCAATTTGTAATTTATAATATATGAACATGTGTATGTAATAATGTAAACAGGTGTCATGTTAATATCGATTAATAATAGAGTGCGCTAAGGAATATGGAATTTGCTTAAATCGCAGCTGGTTCTCTGAACTTTCCGTGTTCTAATCACATACTTGTATTAAATGTAAATATTGTCGAATTATTTCGCTTTGATATTATTAGATAGAATATTACGATTTCATTTTCGTTATTAAATCGTTTGTAAAATATGGAACTGACAAGGGTACATAAAGACGAAGCTATTACTGCATACCACTTTAGAGCCAGTTATCCTGAGAGTTAGGCAAAAGGAATCGGATTTCTCTTTTTCAGACTTTTTTAAACATTACTTTCAGTTCATATACAAATTTTTAATTGACATTTTGAAACCAAATACCTACTATTGGGCCTTTCTTCAAGAGATGGGTAACGGTGTATCTAAGAACTCGGGCTATTTGGAAGAAAATAAAAAAACGGTATCTTATCTTTACATAATATATTATAGTAATAGTTTTGGAGATGCAGCCTTGAAAAGTCGCGCGATCGAGGTCAGCTATATAGTCACTTAAAAACGCGTTTTTTAGAAAATGTGTTTTTAAAGTTGGTTGTCAAGATTTCTCGCGAACTACTCAATCCATTTTAATGAAATTTTATACGGATCTTCGAGATTTGTTTTATTCAATTATAACAATTTAAAAAAAAGTCAAGAAATGTTCAACAAAATATGAATTTTGTTGTGATAACGTCTGCCAAAAAGAAAACTTTCACTTTTTAATAATAAGTAATTGCAGATTTTTGAATATTTTCCTTTGAAAATTTCACAAAATCTTTGTAAAATTTGTATTTTTTAGAATAATAAAAAGTTTGAAAAAATTTCACCAGTTTTTATATGGAAAAGAATTATTGAAAATAGGCCGTTTTTCGCTGGAGGAAACCAATGTAACCTCTTAAAGCTTTACGCGCTGAAACTGACTAACCTAAATGCCTCCACATTACAGCGGATTGAACAGAGCAAACATATTTTTCACTTATACAGTAACTGAGTAATGTTTCTAAGGTTTTAACGTGTACTTTAAGCCAAAGAAAAAGATTATAATATTATTATAATTTTCGAAAGCTATAAACTGAACTAACCCTTTAATGTGAAACGCGGCCCAAATTCGTCACTGGTATGTGCCAAAGTATATACTCGTACAATGTCAAATAAGCTTAATTCATGTTTACATTGTGCTAAATGTACGTGGGGTAAGCAAAAAAACAGATTTGATTTGGAAAGGATTTCGTCCACAGTTAACGCTGCGCTGAAGTAAAAGCTATAGCAACAGTTTAATTGTTTCGTACGATGCGTTTGAAGCAGTAATCAGTGTCGCTTAATAAAATTTAAATAAATTATATGTGTAAAGATTAGTTTACTTTGAACTTCAAAAACTACAATATTTGAAATTATTTTTAACTAATAACTAAATAATAAAATAATTTTACAAAATGGAAATCAGTAAATCATCTCTAAGTATTATTTATCTGAGCAGAGCCTTAGCATTGGCTCCCGTTTCTGTTAAGACGAACGAGGAAGGCGTAATGACAATAAAACGTAGCAAAGTGTTAACCATCTACTCAATCATTTTGTGTCTAACACTAGGTGCGTAAGAGAGAGTAAATAAAATTTAATGAAAATAATTTCCAATGCAATGAATATATGTTCTTTATATTTCCGGTTTAGTTACATTAGTCGGGACTGGATTCAAGGATTATAGCAAGGCTCAATTTTGGTAAGCAGGGCTTTAAAATAAATGTTAATCAATTAGATAAGCCAAGTTGCACTCAAATCGAACAATTATTAGTTCAATTATTAGTACACACGGACACAGAAATGGGTATTTAAAATATATATACATATATAAGAATTTCGTGTGTAAACGCACATTTTATACAATACTTCTTGACCAGACTTTATAATAACAAGAAAAAAAACGTTTTACGTCGGAGACTGTATCGTTGCCTTGGACAATAATCTATGCTAAATTTCGAGAAGATACTTTAGCAAATAAAAACAAAAAAAACGTTAACTTGTAACTATAATACCATTGACAAATACAAGGGTCCTTAAAATAACTTTATTTCTTCCGATAATACATTGTTGCCTTAAACAATAAATAAAGCCAAAAGTCAAGTTTGTATGACAGCTATATGCTATAGTAGTCCGATATCGGCCGTTCCGACGAATGATCGGCTTCTTCGTGAGCTTCAGCTCATCATGTCGATAATTTATGTATATATTTTAAAGGGCCTCCGACGTTTCCTTCTAGGTGTTACAAACTTCGTGCCAAACTTAATATACCCTGTTCATGGCATAAAAAGTTACTTACATGTCTTCAGTATGATCGGTCAGTAGGTATGACAATGAAATAGTTCGATCAGAAAGATTTACTCGAATGTTTTAGGGTTGCCTTGGGCAATAATCTATGCAAAGAAGGTACCAATCCAAATATGAAAAGGGGACTTGAGTTTAAACCATCAGTATATATGGCAGTTATATGGTATATACACTTTATAGGGCCCCCGACGTTTCCTCTTTGGTGTATTTATCTTAATATACCCTTTTTAGGGTCCATAAGAATTAATCATTCATTCTTCGCCAATTGGTTATATTAGAATCATTTTTGGTATCTTATTTACGTATATTATAATAATAAAATCAGCCTGTTTTACTGAAATAAGAAATATATGATATAACCCAAACCCTCAACCCAAATTGTTTATATTTAGTATAGTGGGTATACCAGGGTTGTAAGGTTTAGACCAAGGTATAGATCGCTTTCATTCAAATTCAGATTTCTTCCTATTTAGGAAAATTTATCCTCTTAGTTTCGTTTAAATATCACACATTTTGACTAATGCAAATAATTTATAATGTGGCAAGTTCCATCAAGATATCTAAATTTTTACTCAAGTTATTGCTTGAACGGATAATCTTAGGTGTTACAAACAACTTTTGTGAGAGTGTAAAATAGTTTTATTATAAGTTGAAATATTATAAACTAATCTATCTTTTAAGTTGAATCAACCGGCACACAAAGTACAAATTTGGTTAAAATCGATTTTATAGTTTATGTGTTCATCTCGGCCAATTTTTATATATAACAAGTAAGGAAGATCGAAGTTCGGGTGTAACCGAACATTTTATATTCTCGCAAGGTAAAGTGATATACTGGATTTACGTTAAATTGAATATATTTTAATTAAAAGGAGGAAGTGTTGCATCCATTTTTTACAATCATAGGCAAGGAGATACACCATTATTAGAAAGAGATTCTTTCAGAATTTTTATAAGAATTCTTGCATATGGATCTATAGATGCGGTTTAAAGTCAACGGGAAGTTCCAAAATATTTATATTAGATATTTGGGCCAAGGGAAGTATTGACCTGACACGAAACTATTCTAACCGGATTTCAGTAATAGAACTCATAGACTAACCAATATGTTCGATAAAAAATCAGCCATATGTTATGCACTGGCGTCCACAAATTTGGTGGCTTGGCCGTTGAAAAGTTATAGTCCGATTTCGGCAATTTTGGGCGTTATATTAAATACTTTGACTATTTGTACAAAGTTTTACCCTAAAACCTGCTTTGATGTTTGCTTTGTATACTGTAACGTGAAAGAATCAGATACAATTTAAAAGTCTTTTAAATAGGCGTGGTTATCAGCCTATACCGCCCATTTTCACAATGTATAATAAAAATTACCGGGTAACCACACACACGAAATTTAGTGGTAAAATTGTTTTTTTACACCAGATCCCATAAAGCTCTTCCCTGCCACAGTGACTGTGAAATTTATTGTCTGTGGCCCCATTATTATTTAGTGAGTTATCGCACTTTTAGTAATTTTTAACATAACCGTTATATTTTCAAAATATATAAATAAATTTGATTTGTTTGAGATAGCTTCAGTGGTTTGAGAGATATGTACATTTAATCATTTAGAGGGCGGGGCCACTTTTGTAAAATGTTTATCCCACAAATGCTTTTTAACAATGCGATCACTTGCACCACATTACGCCACCACATAGTGTTAGGTGGTACAAACAACCGTTAGGTGAACAAAACTATTATACTCTGTAGCAACATGTTGCGAGAGTATAAAAATCGCAATAGAGACAAAAAGGCACAATTTTGTACAATGCCTGTTGATCAAGGGGAAAAAACAAATGAACTACAACTACAACAACAGTCTTGACATATTTCCTATATTTCAATTTAATAACGTATTTACTGTTACTAATGACATGTCATAAAAATTTCAGCGTGAATTCTTCGACGCTACAAGCGGTCACTGCCATGGATGTGGGCATAGTAGCGCTGACATGTATTGCTGGCATCGGTTGCGGTCTTTGCAGTGTTAAGCCTACACAACAGCTCAATATGCGTTTAAGGAAGGTATTTCATGATATTTTTATACTCACTAGGTGGTAATTTCTATAAACTAATTAGACTCTTGTGTCAGTTAAAAAACACTTTCTTAGGAATCCAACATTTTGTTTCTAATTCTCAAATTCAGAAGCGTCATTAAAATACAATATTTTCTCATTTTGAACATAATATATTTTGTAGAAATTAATTTGGAGTTAAATTATAAAAAAAAATTGTCATTAGTAATAATATTTATAATACACGTTAAAAACTCATAAATTAATTTAAAATTACTTTTCTTACAGCTAGACGAAACTCTGCACTTCTTTGTGAATTTCGAAAATGATCGCTTTATATCTAGAATTTTGGCCATAGTCACACCAATAATGTTCGGAGCAATCATAAGTAGGTTTATTTAATTTTTATTTACATATAATTCAAAGTTATATCGATATCTATAGGTTTCGATTATTTTGTGTGGATGGTGATTGGGTCACAACATTTTCTTGGTAAGACTTGTCACAAGTGAACAATTTGCGGTAACCTCACTTTTTAATTTTTTTCTTTTGCAGCCGCCACTTTTAATTGGTATATACCATTTTATGGCACTTATTTAGTGATAATTGGAAGTCACATTTTATATGCCAATAACGCTCTAGGGCTTGGTAGACGTTTTCGTCGTTTGAATAAGATATTAAAATACCATTTCTTGTTGGGTAAGATCATTTTTATACAAAGTATTTGTATACATAATTTTTTTGTTTAAAATTTTTTTGTGTTTTAAATTAAGTTCTCATTGTCTACGATATGCCATGAAAACTAAACAAATCAGTTATATAGTGCAAATTAAAAGCGTACAAAATGATATATTAAATTTTCAAATTGTCAATATAAAATTAGACATCATCTAATATTATATTATATCAATACATAGAGCTGAAGTGTTCATATTGTCATGTTAACGTCAATATAATTTGCGATTGGCGCATTTGAGCGCTACTTATTTAGTATTATACTACAAGTATATGTATGTATTTATTGATTTTAATAACTTAAGACTAGTTTAAACAATTTGTACGATTCACTACCCTCTAACCAATCAAAGATAGAAATAACAAGTAAGGAAGGGCTAAGTTCGGATGTAACCGAACATTTTATACTCTCGCAAAGTCAAATGGTATACTCGTTTGAGATTTCTTTGTGGATTGACTGATATTTTCGGTAGAAGGTCAACTATAGGCAATGGAGTCCATATATTTAGTACTTAGGGGTTTGAACAGTTTTGGTTCGATTTAGACAATTTTTGGCCGCAAGGTGGCATACTTTAATTGCATTATTCACGCAAAGTTTTACCCCGATATAATCATTGTTACCTGATTTGCATAGTGGAAAGTGAAAGAATCAGATGGAATTGAAAATGGTGTTACATGGGAAGTTAGCGTGGTTGTGGTCCGATTTCGCCCATTTTCGCACTATGACATAGAAACATGAAAAGAACGTTATGTGACGAATTTGGTTGAAATCGGTTAAGCAGATCTCAAGATATGGGTTTTCACCTAAAAGTGGGCTGTGCCACGCCCACTGTCTAATTTTGAACGCGGTTCCTATAAAGTCATCTTATACCATCTCAGAGATTAAATTTAATGTCTCTGGCGTGTTTAGTGCTGGATTTATCGCGCTTTTAGTAGTTTTTAACAGTACCGTTATATGGGGAGTGGGCGGAGTTGCCACCCGATTTCAACTATTTTCACACCGTCAATAGAAGTGCTAAAAACATTTGCTTCTAGTGAATTTTGTTATTATAGCATTAGCGGTTTAGGAGATATGCACATTAAACCTATTAGAGGCGGGACAACGCCCACTTTTTAAAAAAAAGTTTTAACTGCAGATGCCCCTCCCTAATGTGATCCTGTGTACCAAATAACAATCTTGTATCTTATTGCGGAGCTTAGTTATGGCAAGTTATTTGTTTTTGATTAATGGCGTTTTGTAGGCGTGGCAGTGGTGCGATTACGCCCATCTGCAATACCAACCGTCTCACGGTACCAAGAAACATGTCTACCAAGTTTCATAAAGATATCTCAATTTTTACTCAAGTTAGAGCTTGCACGGACGGACGGACAGACAGTCACCCGGATTTCAACTCGTCTCTTCATCCTGATCTTTTATATATATATAACCCTATATCTAACTCGATTAGTTTTAGGTGATACAAACAACCGTTAGGTGAACAAAACTATTATACTCTGTAGCAACAGGTTGCGAGAGTATAAAAAGCTTTGATTGACGTGGCGTCGTTTTTGTTACTTCTAAAGTGTAAGCTTTCGATCAATAGTAAAACACGGACCTAAACTCAGCTTTACACAATAGGAAAGAAGGAAATTCAGAAACGTTCAGTACTTGAAGTTCGTTCGTTAACAAAGAGATTCATCTCTGTTAGAAATTTTTTGACAAATAATTTATAAAAGTTTAAGTTTTAAAGTTATCCAAAAAGTTATTTTCAAAAGCAATTCACAAACTTGTTAGATCTGATAATACTTATTTACCTAACAAAAGTATTCTATTGCCGTTCATTATCTGTTCTCACAGACGAAAAACGCTTGAGGAAGACTTGGGTTAATAATTTATCATCTGATGAAGAACATTTATCACACCATGAATTTGATCGCCTGAGAAATCAACATTGTAAGTAGGAGTAAGGAAACAATTCAATACACCTTATTTATAATACAAGTACATCATATTTTATGTATGGATTACTTATAAATACACAGAATTCTAATAAACTCATTCATTTCTATTTCTAGCCAAACCTAGAGTTGAGCTGTTAAAATTACTGGCCGACAATTACGAATCGTTGTATAAGTGTGTAGAAATATTTTCCAAGTAAGTTCATACGTTTTTGCTATAAGAAATTTCTAGCCAGGGATGTAGCAAAAGTTCTATTGATCATTTGATTTTACGCGAAGAAAACAATGAAAGTTTGTATTGCAGAAAAAAGTAACTCACAGTCTAAAAAAGGCATTAAAATAAAAAGAAGCCAGAAGAAAGGTTAACTTCGGTTGCACCGAAGCTATAATAGCCTTCTCAAATATAAAAGATGCCTTACAAACACTCGATTCCCATCGTTCAATTTGTATGACAGCTGTATGCTATAGTGGTCCGATCACAACAATTTCTTCGGATATTACACTGATGCCTTAGCCAATAATCCATATCAAATTTCTATATATAAATATAGTGATTATATATCGGCGGTTCCGACAATGTTTGAATGAAATGAAATGAGCAGCTTCGTGTAGAGAAAAAGACGTGTGCAAAATTTCAGATCGGTATCTCAAAAACTGAGCGACTAGGTGTATATACAGACAGACGGACAAGGCTAAATTCACTCAGCTCGTCTCGCTGATCAGTTATATAATATATATAGTTTTCTTCTGGGTGTTACAAACTTCTCGACAAACTGTTCAGGGTATAAAAATAGTAAAATTACTGGGCTGTATATTTCTTTTCTATTTCTCTTCTCTTTTTCTATTAACTGTGAAGCAGATGAACTAGCCACCACCACAGGCACCACCCACCAGCTAGACTCCGAAAAGAGGGAATTTTTGTGCCTCTGGCCACTAGTATATATTTAATCGACGAACATGATACAAATTTAGTCAATGCCTGACTGGCTCAACAACTAGGCAAACGTGGCATGAATGGAAGATGGGCCACAAATGCCGACTATTAAAATTCAAAGGAATGACGTAAGAACTCTATAAAGTGTGCTAACAGGTCCGTGTCCGTCACAGCCTAGGTGCACCATACAATAACTATTGTAGAAGCTGTCAGTAAATAGAAGAAGCATAGACTGTAAAACATCTTTTATGCGAATGCAAGGCTCTATACGGGAAAAAAAAACGCCACTATCGGTCGAGGGTTTCTGGACAACGTTTCAGAGGTTGCACAAATAAAACTATTTGTACTGATGAACTTCATCAGAAGCACGGGGTTGCTCAGAGAGGAGACAATAGATTAAGTGAACATTAGTCCCGGTGGTATCACAATGGGCCTCCTATAGGCCTAGGTGCGTCGTCAGACAGCCACTCTATTTCTCACACTTTTTTCTCTATAAATATATTATATTTCGCCGTTATAATTATGGATCTTTTTGAGAGTTATGGAATAATAAAGTGTCTCGTTAATCAAAAAAATCCAAGGAGGAAAGATAATTGCATTTATCAGTTGATGAAAATACTTTCAAAAAAAACAGATATTTCCTCTAATTACTTTATAATAAATACTAATATCCATTTTCCGATTCAATCAGCGCCTTCAGTTTTGCTGTCCTTTGCAACCTGATCTCCTGCATGCTACATATAGTCATCACTGGACATTTCATGATTATAGCTATCAGAGAGTTTTCTATAACTCTGCAGACTTACAGTCAGATGATGTGGATTATGATGCATATATTCAGACTACTTTTGGTAGTGGAAGCTTGTCACAAGGCGACCGTAGAGGTGAGTAGAAGCATGTCGAAGCTGAATCCTAGACGTTTATGAGCTTGTGAACGGCCGCGTTAGACAAATTTAATTTTCAGCAATGTCTCGACTTGTTATTCGACGATTTGCATCGACCAACCACTTTATTTTATACACATCGGCTTCAAGAGTCCTTCCAGGATGAGGTGCATCCTCCAGATGAAATTATCGGAAAAAAATTTTGCATTTTTATCTTTTGATAGTAAAACAGTAAAATAGGCCGTAACTAATGTTTTCGGTCATCCATCTTCGATAGTTCACCAAACAGAAACGATTAAAAAATTTAGGATGTTTATTTTTACAAACAATCCTTACTACTAGGTATGTTCAAAGAAAAAGTGAATTTTGAATTTTTCAAAAGTATTTGGGGACTTAAGCCTACTTTTGGACTTTACTTTTACTTAGTAGGTAAGCTTGGAACAATAAATATTTTATTTCGTCACACTTCAATATACTTCGTTGATAGAAAATTAACCATTTTATTGTAGTTGGTACTCACCGTTGTCAATATCGTTCTGTTGATATCACATATCCCAATACCGAAAATCTTACATCGTAAATATGTAATATTTCCAAAATTTTGAAACTGTCAATAAAATTATAGTAATAGTGAAGTTTGCTATTAAAAGTAATACTTCGAAATTACTTACCTCAGCTGATAGCGATTGCTCTACAGTATTGCGCTTGATTTCGCTAACGATCTGTATGGTTTTCTTAGACTTTGTACGAAGAGAAACAAAATAAATTTTAATTTTAATTTAATATTATCAAGAAGTAGCTTAAATTGTTTAATATAATTTTTATAT